AAAAAAAAAAAAAAAAAGAAGAAGAAAGAAAAGAAAGAAGGAATTGCAATTGATCGAAATGATTGCCATCGGAGTTCCAAGCAGAATGATATCTCTCAGTGATTCAATCGGTTCAACCTCTTTGGATGAAGAAGAAGCAGAGTCCTGATTCAGTCCGGCGTGGTAGGCTGCTTTCTTATCTATACGTGTGGATCCGTATACTGAGAAAGTAGCGAAAGCGAAACGAAAATATATATATATATATATATATATATATATATATATATATATATATATATATATATATATATATATGTATGTATATAGTAGTAAAAGTATCTCGCAAATCTCTATGTTATGTACATGCAAGTGGCGCTCGGTTTTTCGAACGACACTGCGTACGCTCGCATAAAACGCTGGATGAAATATTGAAAGTCGAAAAATACAAACTGGCCAGAGGCATAGCTAGACGGGTGTGCAGCCCGAAGCGTACAGATTTATCATCGAGATTTCTCTAAAGCGTAATACGAACGTGTCTCCCTTTAACGAGATATTTCTTTTTTCTTTTTTTCTTTTTTCTAATCATTTCGCGGTGATCAAACTATCGCGAAATAGATCTCAGATTTCCTCTCGTCGGCTGACCGTAGAACAACTAAATCTGGGCTCAAAGAAGGGGGCTCGTTTCGCGAAACTGCGAGATTTCGTAATAACGTCGGCAGTACGGCTCGATAAAGTGGCGTTGTGACGCGGTCACGACCACGCGAAACTCGCGTTACACCGCGATGGTATATGGGTGCGGTATAAGAAAATAAGTGACTTTATAAAACCGGGAGAATTCGTGAAATCGATCGAAGTGTATCTCGTACGGAGAGCGGGCTACCAAGATTGAACGAAACGAGCCCTGAAGAAAAGAAACGTGCAACGATATTTCTATGTTTCTTTCGCTGCGTCAAAGCAATTCTCGCGTCGAGACCATTGTCGGCTGGAGACTGTTGCATCTGACGATTAGACAACCACGCTGAGCCACGCGACACGTCATAACGTCTCCGCGCGTAGCAACGTGAACAACAAATCGAATGAACAAACGGGCCAGCCTTCTTCGTAGAATCTGTTCTTACGCAAGAGACGAACAACATCACAGAGTGGCCCTATCTCGCGGTATCGTTGTGACTTTATCAGCGCGTGGTCAGCGTTTCCTGAGGAATCAGAAGCACACCGACGGTCTGTAGAGACCGGTGTAGCCGCACAACCGGGCGCGTAACGCCGGCAACAATATCGCCGCCGCAGAGAGATTGTCTTGCAGTTGCGAACACTCGCAGATCAGGAGGTACATCTTGTCACCCTGTGACATGGACTTGTGCAACGTGATCCGTCTCAGGCCGACCGATTTCGGCAAGTATCGGTACATCATACGGGCGCCTAGAATAACAAACACGACCGCGGTAGAAACGTAGAAACGCTATTAACAATAAACAGTGATAGAAATTGCAATACCGGTCCAATAGAGCCAGTTTTGCTCGAACTTGAGGCCGTCGTCGCCCTCGAACACCTTGAAAATCGAGACGATATAGCCGGTGGACGGAATCGGTGGTCTGACACCAGGTGGTTCCAGCGGCGGCCTCGCTATGGTGGCCACCTCGTTGAACAAGTCCAACGTGTGACTGGCTGCGTACCGAAGGTCCCGAGGATCAAACTTTCTCAAGGCAGCGCATTGCACCTCGTTGTAAAAGTCGACGGGGTCCGTATTCTGTTTGTTTATCAAGTAGTACGAGATGAATGGAAAATCCGCTGAAATCGATTGTTATAACATTATATAACATACGTATTAACGTGTATTATCATATTATTATGTAACATACATATAGCATATATTATCATATTATTATAACGTTACTTTTATTACTATATTACAACGTTACTTTTACGTTATTATAACGTTACTTTTATTACTATATTTTATATATATCTAATAATATATATTACTATATTATATTATATTATTACTATATTATATATATAATATATATTATATTACTATATTATATATATAATATATATTATATTACTATATTATATATATATATATATAATTGTAGTTAATTTCAAACACAAATTCCACGAAATTTAACCCCTTGTCTCACAACATCGAATCGTGATCGTACGGAATTTGCATTTAGATTAAAAATTGCTACAAGTATCTACGACGTTTTCGACTCGATACAATGCAACGAGCTACCTAAGAAGATTGAATAAAAAATCGCAAGACAAGGAGATAATCAGTCGTCAAATTACCATCTTTCTCCATATTCGTGAGCAGAATACTCTGGGAAGCGGAGGGTGCAATCTCAGCGACCAGTTCAGCCGCAGTGTCCCGTTGGAGAACCAGGGGTCGGGAAACTGGAGACTCGACCAAAGGGTCCAGTGGCTCGAGAGGCGTCATGAAATGAGCGAGAACACATTGTTTCGGATCCTCGACTTCGAGGACCGACAGCGGACTTCCTGGTCTTTTTTTGTCCGCGATTGGCGCATGCTGGAACGAGTCGGAATAAAGCTGTGATTGAAACAGAGAATTAATCATTTCGGTGTCATTGAGTTTCTCCGATGTTGTTTAGTTTTGCTGTCGGCGATCCATCAAAAGATTTCGCCACGTGCGATCGCGAAATATTGGCCGAGCGCAAATAAAAAAGAGAGAGGAACAGGTGTACAAATACACGGTCATTGAATCGGCACCGCTCACAATTTTTCACTTTATACGTTTCTTTCATTTTATTCTTCCTTCCTTTATTTTTTCTATTTCTCTTACTCTTTAATCCATGAAACTTGCGTTTTACTTGCGTAATCTTTCGTAGCAGTGAAATTAATCTACCATCATCTCTATGCACACAGAGATTTTTAACAAAGCAAAGAAAAATATTTCAGAATACGCTTGCAATAATCTTGAAATGAAACCTGGGCAAACGAATTTTGCAAATAAATAAATTTCGTTTCGAAAACATTTCGCTAAAAGCACGTTGAACGTTGGAACATTGCGCGAGTGTTGAGCCTAATTCAATGGCCACGGGGGTTCTGGTGAAGAGCCACGCGTAAATCCGTATCCCTAATGGGTTACGCGCGTCATTTGCGTTACGTTGATGCGTCATTTATCAGACTTTTCGTTGTACCCTCGCCTAGCAGGTACGCTTTTGTCTATTTTTACGCGTTTGAGGCTGAGCCAGCAAGGTCGTAGCTGCTCACCAAGCAGACTCTAAGGCCAATAACTCGAGTATTCTGGTTCTAGCGGGCGTATTCTTGATTAATGTAGCTTCGCGCGGATCTCGTTCGAGTGACTTAAAGGGGTTCGCTGGATCTCGAGACGCCACGATGGCGTTAGCCGGGGAGGAATTGTCTGTTTCTGGTGCTGCACGAATTTGGAACTAATTTTCGATGAAATAAAATAAAATTTCCGATTATCGTCGGCTCCTGAGAATTTTCTGTCATCGATGTCACGCCATGAGCTATCGTTTTTATTGTCAAATTCAGTTTCAAAATTATGGAACGAAAAACAGACGAAAAAAAATTCATTCAATTGTTCGTCCAGGAGCAAACGATCGATGTCGAAACATGCATAACACATTTAAGAAGCTTTTGTCGATTGATTATTGCGTTGGCGTTGAACAGACGCGTTGCAAAATGTTCGCGCAGCTCACTGTTGCGAAATATGCTATTGCGAAATGCAGGTGTGTATCAAAGCAAGTTCAGACGTCACGAGATAAAAATGACATAAAGAAAGAGAACACAGGAGAGCTACAGATTGTTCGAGGAAGTTCTGTTAGTATTTTCGCAGAACAATAAAATAGCATTGCGCCATGCAAATCGTGGTATTAATAAACAAAGCCCACGCGATCTCGACTCTTAACTGGTATCGTCGAGCTGTTATTGACGACCATGAAAACTTGAAGTTAAATTATTTACGAAAAGAGACACTCAGAATAACAACAATTAAAAACATAGTTTGTAAATAATTGAGAAATCTTTACCACGATTGTGATTTTAATTAAAGGAAGCAGCTTTTCAATCAAAAAGTAGGAACTTTAATTTTATGCCTTAGAATTTCATAATTTTCGGGTAACTTCTCTTATTAGTTTTATAATGGAATTTAATAATTAATCTTTGTCACATGCAAGTATCTATAATACAAAATAAAATCATCCTAAGTTTTAGTAATTTAGTTTTTTAATAAAATTTAATTAGTAATCTTCGTTACACAGAGGAATCTATAATAGAAAATAAAATCATCCTAAGTTTTAGTAATTAGTTTTATAATAAAATTTAATTGCTAATCTTTATATTCAAATTACAATGCAAAATAAAATAATCCTAAGTTTTAGTAATTTAGTTTTTTAATAAAATTTAATTAGTAATCTTCGTCACACAGAGGAATCTATAATACAAAATAAAATCATCCTAAGTTTTAGTAATTAGTTTCATAATAAAATTTAATTATAAATTATATATATTTAATATTACTAATATATATATATTACTAATCTGTAATATTACTATATTAATATTACTAATCTGTATATCAAATTACAATACAAAAATAAAATCATTCTAAGATTCAGTAATCTGCTCTTTAGTAATAAAATATCTGTCACCCAACGATACCATTCAAGATTCAAGTCTACGTGAGCGAGTCTAAGGGAACAAAAAGTAGATCAGCCATGCAAAAGAACGTTGCCTAATGCGTTTGTCAGTTATGTAGAAATTTATTCAACATACCGGTACTCCCGCTGGTAAAAAACGTTCAAGAGAAGCGAGGGGAATGATGAAACAGTCGCGGTCCAAAGTGGCCAGAGAGATTGGTTCGCCGCGCGGAGGGCTGTTTCCGGAAACCACCAGGGGCGTGTACGCGCCGGACGCACGGTTACCGCTGAAGGAAACCTATGAACGTCATACAATTCCGGATAATTAACTCTGGTGACCTGGCTGAAACTCGTATACATACGTACGATCCGCAGCGAATTGGCCCGGTTCTCGTACCGGGAGTTACGTATGTTACTTAGAATTTCGGCGCACGCGAGCCCTTCGCGTTTAAAATAGGGCTTCTTGTTTTGAAGTTCGCGCATTTTCTACCGTGCAGCCACGAATGAACGTGGAACGCGCATCCGATCGTTCGATTAAGAGACGTCTTTATTATAAAATGAGAATGACAAAAAGAAAATCTACGTTCAACCGGAGAACAATCCTTGTTTGATCAAACGTTGTATGAACAAACGTTGTTTAAAACAAACATGTATTTCTAAACAGTTTTTTTCAGACCTTTTTTTTCAGACACTGCTTAGAGCTGTTTTTAGTAAAACTAAGTTTTTTTCAGTAATTCATTATTTTAATCGACTAAAATCGAACAAAAGAAAGTTAATTTTTCTCGTAATGAGATGTAACTGTTCAGCGAATATAAATTTGATTCCAAAAGAGTGGTTAAAATAAAATTGAATGATATAAAATATAATAAAATAATAATAAATTAAATAATATATAATATATAATCAAATAAATATTAAATAAAACTAGGTTCCATTGAATTCTATTTTATTTTCATCCTCTTTAATATATTTTACTATCGATCAGAGTTCTTCTGTTCTCTAAATTCTAAATCTAACAAATCTACAACGTACTAACATAAAATCTATCGTTACTTACGAAATTGTACATGTTTCTATAATTTTAAATATTCATATGAAGCTCAATCATCAAATCCGGCAAGTCGGGATTCGATTAATATTAATTTTCAAAAAAAAATAGTCTGCAACAGCCAAACCTGGTTCTTCCACAGAAATTTCACACGAAACGAAAAATTCTTCTCTTTTAATACGTGAGATAATAAATGTTCGGAGGATGACAGCGTGCCTCCATGCAAATTGCAATAGAACCAGCTGGTCGCAATGTTTCCTGGCACGCGTAGTGCATTGGTAATTAAATTTATTTCACAACAATGATGCACGCAGCCGAAGCGCAGGATGTATAATTAAAGTTCAAGATCGAGGCCGGGGTATTGATCGAACTATACGCGAGGGCTACTAAATTTTCTTTCGCCCGAGTCGAGGAGCTACGAGGTAAGGAAGCAACTTAGTACTTTTTTCGGGATTTCCACTGTTCCCATTGATTCTAGAGGATTTCAGTTCTCCTGGAAATAAATACCAACGTACACTAAGGATCTTCATTAGAGATTTAACGACGACGCGATATTGTGGAAACTTCCAAGATATTTAACTAATGACAAGTAATGATATATTAATAATATATATAATGATAACATAATACAATATACATATAATGATAATTAAATAATTATTTATATAATGACAATTTAATAATTATTTGTATAATAATATATAAATAATAATAAATTTAAACGTTAATGACAAATAATAATATAAATGCAATTTAATTGCAAATTCTTATGTATAATAACAAAAATCGCACGACTATTTACAAAGCATGAAACAATATTTCCTACACGCGGCTGTCATTCATAAATTCCAAATATCCCCCCTTAATAAAAAGTATTAAGAACACCTAAGTACCCAATTCCGTTTCAGACGTGTGGTTTCACACATATTCAAAATTCTCTCTGAATTCTCTCTGAATCGTAACGATGCGTCTCTCAAACGTTCCCCCGGGCTGTCCTTCGAAAAGAAAATCGCCGTTCATCCGCGGATAAGCATCCGGGAATTCAGGTCCGATCGGGGTCCAGGAGCGGAACGGGCACAATGAGCGTACGGGATATCGGCCACGGCTCGCAGGAAATTTATGGTACGTCGCGAGATCCGCCTTGGCGCGCAATAAGATAGCGAGTTTGCGTGCCGGCCACGAGGATGGCGTAGGTGTAAGTTTATGCGGATCGTTCGGCGCCCCTCTCTCTCTCTCTCTCTCTCTCTCTCTCTCTCGTTTCCTCCATAATTCCACCCGATCGCGAAACTGTCCCGCGTGTGTATGTGTGAACGTGCATTTGGCGTGTATTCCTCCGAGTCTGGTTGCCCTGTTGTTCCCTCCCTTATCTATGTGCATCCGAGGCGTGTGAACTCGCCGCTGAAATATCGTCACGAGTGTCCGGCCTGTGGCCGTGTTTCAGGTAGCCACTCGTCGATAGCTAGTCTCTCTCTCTCTCTCTCTCTCTCTCTCTCGTTCGTGCAACGGGTTACAATCGTGTAATTTGCAACGGGACAACATCGCCGGTTGGAAAAAAAAAAAAAAAAAAAAGAAAAGCGTCGGAGTCACGTTGCCGTTTTCCGTGGCGCCGCTCGTTCCAGACGTGGGAACTCTGCCCCTCGAGCGCCGGTTACAAGCTACAATCGACCGTGATTAGACACTGGACCGCGGATTTTTACGCGTTTGTGGGAAACTCGCGGACGCGTAGAACGTGCACTGAACGTGTTTGACTCTAGCTCTATTCACGGTCACGTTTCGATCTCGCTACCTCTTGCGTATTATTTGTGAAATATATTGCTAACGAACGTTGATAAATTGCGCGTGACGATGTAATGTTAATAAATTGTTCTTTGACAAGATAGTACATAGTGTTTGCGTTTGTAAAATGAAATGACGTTGTGAAATAGTCCCATTCTTTTGATATATGGTTCTTGCATTTAAAGCCAACTCATTTGGACTCGTTTGGTACGTTTAATTCTTTTGCTTTTGATCTTCCTTCTGTGAAAGTCTCTATTGTGCTCAAACTTTCATTCTCTATCTGATTTTTAAATAAATAAGTTGATTCTTCTACTAGTTTTTGCGAGAATGCGTTAATTTTGAATATCGACTATAATAATAAATAAATTAATTGATTAATTTAGTTTAATATTATGCAATTTACTCCTCTCCTTTGAAATTAACATACAAAAGATATAGAAAATATCAAAAGTCGTGCCTTTGCACGCAACTTTCAATAAGCGAAAATAAATTTCTGTCCACGCTCCATTTCCTCCCTAATCCTCCAAAACATTATATTATTCTATCAAGCGCCACAAAGTTATTTTGGCTGCAACGGTGCGAAATTTCATAATGAACAGTGCGCAACAATTGCCACCATCTGAACACAACTACGAGAAATTAAGCTACAACTGTTAAAAATTCCAAAATCGTCGACAGATTACGGCAACGAACGTCGAACGTCGTCCCTGAACGTTTGATTGTGTTTAAACGTATCGTGTTCCCGATTCAGCTCACATCAAAGTGCGTATCTACACGTCGACAAAGCGAAACAAGATTTACGATTCGAATCAGCGTTCGTTTTGTAAGGATTCTCGTCGGGAACAACCTCGCGTCGGAGGGACCCTCTGAAACGGTTCGCTCCGCGGTGGAATTGTCGTCTGTGCAGGGTCGTCGTCGTCGTCATTGATCGGAAATTGGGTTTCTTCGATTGCCACGGGCCTTTGGCTCGTCGGAGGTAGTAGTAGTGGTAGTGGTAGTGGTAGTTCGCGGCTCGAGGGGGTGGTTGATTAAATTTAACCTACATCCCCGACACCTGAACCGAAGTATTTGATTAGACACGAGCGAACGATCACACGTTCGGCCGAGGTGCATCAATCTTTCGGACCGCACCGACGCTGTGGATTAATTCCGCCATCTTGGAGAACGGCAAGGTTAGAAGAGCAGCTCAAGCTGCACGTATACAAAATACGCATTTTGCCTCCTAAATTAATTATAATATTCTCGCGTATAAAATACCTAACGAGTACCGTAACACTACCGTGAAACTATTTACCGATTTGTTTGAACAGTTCCAATCAATCGCGAATATTTTCATAAATATAATTTTAAAGGGTTCCTATACTTTGTATTATATTTGGATATTTTTAATAACTTTCATAAGTAGATTTCTTACAATTGCGAAAAATATTCGATAAGTTTTTTTGTATAATTAATATTGACTTTCATTGAGACAGAATCGTATATATTATTTATATGTATCGTTATACTATTTTAATTACAATCGTGATGATATATCTGGATATATACAATGTGTAGAAATTACTACAATTAATTAAACTTTCAGTGGGAAAGATACTACGAACAAATAATGAATGAAAATCATTAACATGCTCCGAATTTCTGAAACACACGCTTGTGCACAGGTGTACAAAGTGACTAGAAACATGTACACCATTGTATCTATCGTCGTACCATTTACCTGATATTAACTAAATTCAAGCAAGACAGGTTAAATCTCGTATTCGTGTAACTTTGCAAGAGAAACGAAATGCAAAGATGACTGTGAAAGGTACGGAACCGGCCGGTAGAGCATTAAATTAAATTAAACCAACAAAATGAAAATGATGCACGTACCTGTCTGGAAGCGGTCGGCGTGGACGGTTCCGATGGTTCCTTCTGCTGCGAAGCCTGAGCCTGCTTCCTCCTCGGCTGTCCCCCGGCTGCCGATACCTGTGCCGATCCACTGCCCCCTCCGCCGCCTCCTCCGCCACCCCATTTGATCACGTGCGGCCCAGAGTTCTTCCTCGGCGGTGGTCCGATCCTCTCGCCAGGCTCCTCCGGAGGGGAACCGAGGGCACCGCCTGACGGCGGCGAGAGAAACAGATGAGTCCGATAACCGAAGCCCTGGTGCTCGTGATCGGCCATCGACGGGAAGTAGCCGAACTCCCTGCTTCGTCGAATCGGTGCGCGCGTCCCAACGGCCGAATGGCCGGCGCCGCGCATCACGCCTAACCTCGACCCCGTGTACCCCAAAGTGGCTGGCCCGTAAGCGGTGCCGAGGGTCGCGCGACCCTCCAGTCCGCCACCGCCTCCTCCTCCACCACCACCGCCGAGCCCCTTCTCGCTGAAGTTCTTGCGAAACATAAGATTCATGACTGATTGATTGTGACGACGTGACACGGACCACAGGCAGGGGTGCGACAGGGATGATTGCCAAACAGATACAGAGACACAGACAGACAGGTTGCGGCGTGCGTATTTTTTTTTGGGGGGGGGGGGGAGGGGTTTCGTTCTATTTGGCTTCTTTGTTTGTTTGTTACGCAGCCTAGTGTGTGGTTTCGAGTTTTGCCGCGCCGGTGGTGGTGGTGACGGTGCCCGACGATCACGAAAGCGTCCCTAGGCAGCGGACCCGCGTGTTTCTTTCTCCCCTCTCGGCGATTTTTTCTCTCAGCTCGAGGGCTCCGAGGTTCCTTCGTCGATAGTCGTCGACGTTGTCGAGCTTCATTCGCGCGAACACTTGCGAGAAGTTTGATTCCCGACACTTTCCGCGATGCGACGCGATCAATTGGGAAGGGAACGAATTTCGGGGGGATTCAACGTCTGAGTTATCACGTTTGTCAAGAGTCTTGATCTCGAAGAGGAATGGATTCGTTCTGCCATCGCTTCCCCTCCCTCAACGAACAGAAACTTTGAAACGCCAGAGTCAACTAAGTTAGTCGTGTGCCGGAATTTTTATTCCAGTTCCATTCGTTAACTAAATTTCCTTTGCGAACCACCAGTCAGCGCCAGAACGATTAAAAATTCGACTTTAACTCGAACACTTTCCACGGGGCGATGTATTTAACTCGGGGAGGAGACGAAATTTTGAAGAAACGTGGCCTGACACACTCGAGTCATTCCGCGGGTCTTAATTTTGGCGTTCGGGGAACAGAGTTACTCCTCTCAGTCAAAGAAAACTTTGAAAACGATCGTCAATCTTTCGTTTCGCAATTTTCCCACGTTTCTTTCATGCGTTATTCGCTCGCTTGCGAGATGTCACTGACATTCGCGTGATCCTGCTCTTCTCAAACAAGTTCAATTTCGACGGATTGCACAAGTCAACGCACGATTACAGTCAACTCTCGGAAAACAGCGGAACGTAACCTGGCACATTCGAGTCGTCTTGTTAAGAATCTCAACACATTCGCGGTGGGCAACATAGTTACACGTCGTTTCGGAGTCTCGAACTAGTTCGCCTGGCAAACGCACGTCATTTCAAACTAATTTGTACAAACTTGCGAATTTAAACAACCCAGAGTGCAGTATAACTCCTCTCCTCTCGTTTTCTACTTTGAATCTTCCTTTGACTTTAAACACCGTTGCCAAGCCGAGTTTTCTATCATTTTCATCTCCACCTCAATGGCAAAATCCAGCGTCGACCAGAATTCTACGGGACGTCTTTCAAGTTATTATTACATCGTACCTAGTAATTTTTTCCTTCTCAACTTGCGATCTAATTCCCCTTCGAATTTCGAACAAAATTGTACGACCAAAATTTTCCCATGGTCGAATGGCGAACCAACGATCGACTACGAATGCGTTGATCTTTTCGAATGTCTCGGATATGAACGAAAACTTCAGAAACGAGAGTGGTCTCGCGTTCGATCTAGCCTCGTAAGCTTCAGCTCGTTTTTCAGAACTACCCACTGTGGCGTCGCACAGCTCCTACTTTCTCTTCGTCCTCCCCCCAAGTTTCCGCTGCGGGAAAGAAACGCGGTTCATGCAACACCGTACGTAGTCCTCGAGTTATTCGAAAGCTTCGAACCGAAAGCTTGGCTCGCTACGAGATAACTAATCTCTCGGACTCTTTCACCGCCCACTTGGCGTGTTACCATCGTGCGTACGTATCCCCCGTGAGTCTAGAGCTTCTCAGTGCCCGTCCAAGTGTCATCACGCGGGAAATGCCGCGAGGATGCGGCGGAACGACGAGATTTATAAAGCTGGTCGAGCCAACCATGCGGCACCGTCCAACCACGCTCGATTTAGCTCGCCAAACGAATCTCAAGGTCTAGAATTATAATTACGTCTGGGAAATGACGGATCGCGTGTCACGCGAGAATCCGTCGTGGGGCAGATATCCCGGCTTCTATCGTTTCGACCCCTTGCGCGGACCATAACGAGCGACCGAACACGCCTGGATAGAAATGATTGAGAAGCAACGAATTTATCATTTCCTTCGTCTGGGTTATACTTAAATATACTTGGAAAACTGGGAAAATGTTGCAATTTTCGGACAAAAAGGGGTTAACCACTTGCGCCGACTGCGGACCATAACGAGTGATCGAACCGTAGAACAAGAATTTGTCGCCCTCGTTTTCTTTTGAACTCGTCGGTAGGATATCGCTGGACAGAAATTATTAAGAAGTAATAAACTTGTCACTTTGTTTTGCCTGGGTTATACTTAAATATAATTGAAACTGAGAAAATGTTGCAAGAGGTTATAATGAAGACACACGCTCGACTCGATTTCGGGCTCGGTTCTCACGCGTCGTTGGAACAGCACCAATCGAAAAAAATTGTTCTCTCCGCCTGTACTTTTATGCTATTACGATTCCATTACGAAGATTACCAACCGAGAATTATTTATTCGGGTGTTGCTCGTTCGGACGATGCACGGCGCGACGTGAACAAAATTGAAAAGAACATGGACAAAAATCGAGAATTCAGGTATTTGCTGTATGACGATATTGGATACTGGATTCTTGACGCGATTCTTGAGAAACAAATGAATCGAGATCATTTTGGCACGGTCGAGTCTTTCATGATGTTTACTGTGTATTTATTATAATTTACCATTAATAAACTGGCGATTTTTAGGCACCTAGGAATCCGATTCTATCGATATCTATTAGTATTTACAAACTGTCAAGATTAAATTTAAACGATTCATTCGAATTGCATTTTACGTTGCAATAATTTCGAAATGTTCAAATATCTGTGCGAGAATTCCGACTTTCGTCCGAAATTTCACCGTGATAATAGCTCGACGATTCCACGGGTAACTGTTGCACGTCGAAACAACGAGATTTTAAAGTCGATCGAACGACGAATTCCAACGAACGAACCGAATTCTCGTTAGTTTTCGATCTTCGTTAAATTTCCTAACGTCACGATGTTATCCTCAGAGCAAATCGCGGTGATACCTGACAAACGAACTTGGATTATCAATTTTATAAATAATCTTGAACATTTGGAAGGGACGTTTCGTTAGGCAGAACCTCGATTTTCGTTCAAAATTCGACCATTCACCCGCACTGTACAATGATTCGGGGATAACTGTTGCGCATCGAAACGATACATTTTAAAATTGATATCTCAACACTGCGACATTATATCGTGAATTTTAATAATTAACTTTCTCTAATTAATTTTTATGGATACTTCGATAATTCGAAACTTAAAAATGAACTGAATTAAAATTAATCGTACTTGATTTCTCAACACTGCGACATTATATCGTGAATTTTAACAATTAACTATCTACTAACTTTCTATAATTAATTTTTATGGATACTAAAATTTCGATAATCTGAAACTAACTTAAAAATGAATTGAATTAAAATTAATGGTACTTGATTTCTCAACACTGCGACATTATATCGTGAATTTTAATAATTAACTATCTACTAACTGCGACATTATATCGTGAATTTTAATAATTAACTATCTACTAACTGCGACATTATATCGTGAATTTTAATAATTAACTTTCTATAATTAACTTGTATGGATACTAAAATTCCAATTTTCAATAATCCGAGACCAACTTAAAACTGAACTAAATTAAAATTAATCGTACGTTGATTTCTCAAACATTGCGACATTGTATCGTGAATTTTAATAACTAACTTTCTATAATTAATTTTTACGGATACTAAAATTTCGATAATCCGAGACTAACTGAAAAATGAACTGAACGACAAATTCTCTCTCTCTCTCTCTCTCTCTCTGTCCTGTTCCCGATCGTCGTTCCGATTCCCCGACACCGTGACCGGTATCCACAACGCGTTGTAGCACGTACATACATAGCTCGCGACGTTGAATTTTAATTAGCCATTAATCTCAACACTCCCTCCATGAAACTCGGGCATTCGTACCAGAATTTCAAAATTCTATCGCCTCGAACGAACCGAGTCATCGTCGAACCCGCCGCGACGCGAGCAACCACGGGCAACGCGGAACGTGCCCTCCACGCCAGGAGAGGACTGTTTGCCTGACCCAGCGACACTGACTTTAATAGTAGAGCCTCTCGATTGATCTGCCGCAGCCGCAAGGACTGTCTTGTCACGATAGCGTTCGGTGTTTGCGGCGCAGTCGGTGGAACGCGAAAACAGACACATGCACGTTCGGGGGCTCGATACCTGAACGCGGACAGCAAGTCTTGCCCCCTGAGCCAGAATCGTCGTTCCAGATTATATTTCATTTTGCCAACACAGGCTTCGACCCGACGAAAGTGTTCGAATAATAATTTGTTGATCCGGATCGTTTAACCATCGATCGTTTAACCATCTTATTACGGATCGAAGCGATTGGAGTTGGGGGTTGCTCGTTGGTGTTTCGTGGAGGATAATAAGGTCGAGGTCGCCCGCAGGAGGAGATGCCGAGTTTGTTGTTCGAACGAGTTTGAACGATTAACCTTCTGCAAATTACAGAGGAATATCTCTGTTTAGTCCTTCGATTTTTTTTTTTTCTTTTTTTTTTTTTTTTTTTTCTTCTTGTCCAACCAACCGCGACGAGTAGTATTCATTTCATCAAAGTTACTTTTAATGAGACATGTTTTCGATAAACAGGAGAATATATTTAGTTTGCCTAATTCTTTATATATATAATTATTAATACAGTATACATGTATTTATTACTTATTTAATCATTATCTTGTTTTTAAAGATTAAAAATTTTTTTTAATAATTGTATATAATAAATTTTATGAATTTATAATAATCTTTAAAAAAAAATTAACAAATTATAAAATTTTTTCTATTATTAATTAATACTAAAATCACAATTTCGCGAGATTATGAAGCTGAAAATTTTAAAATATATATAGACGTATATATGCATTCTTCAAGTTTCTCATAAATGCATAAAAATCGGCAATCTGACAACAACAAACGACATTCTTCCCCTCTGAGAAGAAAAGAAAACAGAATTATATATAGATTGTATATAGAATCGTATATAGAATATAGAATATAATCGTATATAGATTGTATATAGAATATAGAATATAATCGTATATAGATTGTATATAGAATCGTATATAGTATATATAGAATTGTATAGAGAAATATATAGAAATATTTTTCTATATTTATTAGATTTCTATATTTAAATATTTTCATTAAATATTTTTCTATATTTAGTAGATTTCTACATTTAAATATTTTTATTAAATATTTTTCTATATTTAGTAGATTTCTACATTTAAATATTTTTATTAAATATTTTTCTATATTTAATAGATTTCTACATTTAAATATTTTTATTAAATATTTTTCTATATTTATCAGACATCTACATTTAAATATTTTCATTAAATATTTCTCTATATTTATAGAAATATTTTTCTATACTCGTTTCATTTTTACGTAGAAGTACATGGAAATATTTTTCAATATCATCCCGTGACACGCTGCGCACAATAAATAAACTAATATTCAGCCTGCGCGAGAATGTATGCAAACCTACATGTTCTCTCGACCAACTTCGTGCACGCGGTCTCATTGAACCGTACTGTTCTACGAACTGCACGCGACCGCCTGCCATCGCAAATAGGTTAAAGGATATACGGCGAGTATCCATCGCGAGACAACTGTCCGTAAGATTCTCCATTCCCTGGTTTTTGAACAAAGGGAAAAGGAAAAGTACACCTCCCCGAAGAATACTAGATCCTCTTTTCGGTTCCTTTCCGACCTTCTTCCAAGGAAGACGAGGAAGAGACACGATCTCCCGAGCGATCATTCGTCACGCGAACAAGACATCCCGAGTCTCTTTTCCTGGCGTAAACGCGCGTTCTTCACGCTCGAATGGACAAAACGTCTCCGACGAATGGCGAACTTAGCTGTCCTCTGCACGTGCCTAAAGAAGGGAACATCGACAACGCACGACTAGACCCACAGGTTCTTATGATTTCGTTCAACCGGGACGAGTGTTAACGAGCGAACGTGAACGGAAGCACGACGTCTTCTTCGTAGAAGTTGCAGCGATAATTTACGAACCGAATCGCCTGCAGACGACTGGCAACTCGCATTAACGAGAGAGAGCTCGTGCAAAATACGTTGGAATGGATTGTTAGGTTGGTGCAAATTTCGCGTCATTTTGCACGATCCAACATCGACTGCGCGCGTAGCTTTCTCAGAAACTGTCAAACTGTAGATTTGATCGAAGAATCGAATCGGGGATATAATTGGTTTAATCAGTATTCTTTCAACGAAATTGTTTTCTACTTTCTTTCAGACTTAATGGGAAAATTTATAATTTGGAAATTAAAGAATTGCTTGACACCGAACAGAAATGTTATATTTACATTTGTGGAAAGCGTCAAGACAATTTTTGCAAATTTAAGTTCACGCTAGTACGAGTGCTTGCTGTTAAATATAATTAAATTTCATATTTTTGTCACAAATTTCTTCCTTCATATACGTACCTAATTTATAGTAAATTTCTTCTTCTTGTTTTTTTGTACGGTTAGAATTAACGATAGATGAAAATTTAATTGTTGGCGAATTTTGGCAACGTCGCGTAATTGTAAAAGTTACATATCCACACGTCCACATTCTGAAAATCTTCTTCATTTTGTCATTTCATCGATATTACAAAACTGTCAAGTTGTTTTCAACTGTAATAATTTTCAGTTCCAAGATTTTTGACTGAAGCAAGTAGATTCAATTAACCGAGAGTACTTTCCTCTTTTCACTAACAATAAGCTCAATTCTGGTTACAGAGAGTCGAGCCTCGAGCCTGTTACGTAAATTGTAACGAGGATTTTTCAATATTGAACTGAAATGTGTGACACGATAGATAAAGCTGAATAGCTTGGATTTAACTATCGTTATCAGTGGATCAGTGGATTTTTATATAACTGAATAAATATACAAATAGAAATTGAGAGATTTCCTGTTCACTTCGAGACATTCAGTGTTACGCTATTTCCCTTTAAAAACCTAAACAGTAGCTCAACCTAATTTTACTTTGAAGCACTCGTTTGTGTATATTATTACACGCAATTCTTTCGCATTAATATTCAAATTACATAGTATTCGAAATATATTCTAATAAATATTATTTAAATGCATAAAAAGTCCTCATTTCCGGTTAACCAAACTCGAGGATACGATGGGGTAGCTCTGTGACTGAGGCAGGGATCTTGATTCCAGGTTATTCTCGAGTAAACAAAGAAAGAAAGAAAAAAGAAAGAAACAAACACGCGATCCCTCGCGATGAAGAGCCACCTTCGGTGCTGCTTTCGTTCGTCTGTCGAGGAAAAATATACGCACGTACACGCCGGACCCTCTCTCAACATGGAAAGCGAACAGCAAGCAACAGTTATCGGTTATCGACTACGAATAACGGTCATTAACACATTCAGTGCCGCGGTGGATCTCGCAATCGCCGAACCAACCACGCCAAACTGCACGCGTAATTTGCGTGTAACGACACATACACACATACAGAGGAACTACACCGCGGCACTCGACGCGTCGATGCAGAGAAACAATATGAGTCACCAGCACGAGCTCGACGGAGATTAATCTTACAATTAGCGAGTAAACAACTGATACTGCTACTGGTCTACTGCCCAAAAGTACAGAGCGAAGCGTGTCAAAAAAAAATAAAAAAAAGAGACAAGAAAATAAAAACGAGAACCACATGGGTAAGATTCCTAGGCGGTCGATACTTGGTTAATATATTATCGCAAACACGAACGAACAAGATAGAAGGGGGTCGATCAACGACATAACAATGTTATATACCAGGACTTGGAGGAAAGGCAGTGGGTAACGGCTGTATGTACAGGCACGGGATCTACTCCACCGGAGACACAATTAGAAAGACACAGATCACACGAGCACCACTACGTCCGTCCCAGACGCCGGTTCGTCGGTACCACCAATTCACAAGGCATCGACGGTACACACACGGACATGCGTTTGTTTGCGACGAGCACAGCACAAGAGTACAAACGGATCGATGCTGCGCTTACGAGAGGCACGTAACTCGCGATCGAAACTGGTGAGTTCACGCGGAAACGGGTGAAAACTGCTCTGATCAGCAGGCTACGATTGAATTGACGAGACCACTTCCGGTTCAACTGAAGTTTCGCGGTGTGTCGCGAACCGAAACTTAGTAGTCGTAGGTGAAAGAGAGACGCGATCGCGAGACACGTGTGTGTATGTGTATGTGTATGTGTTGGTTGTGCGCTAAATCGATGCGGTATTGAAATATTCACCGGTCGACGAGGGGGGTAAAGAGGGGGGGAGGGCAGTTGTGTATGTGTGTCGCGTAGCGTCAAGGCCTCTGTGCCGGCGAACACTCGTTATCTCCGACCCTGGGTCAACCGTGATTCTTCCTCGTCGTGTTCACCACCGCGTTGTTGCAACGCGCCGCGGAGCTCGATCGCGGATGGATCGATCGATCGATCCGACCGTGCAACCACGTGTGTGTCCTCGGCGATTAACTTCAGTCGGCGAGAGTGAGGGTAGGTTCGCCACGCGACCGACAGCCTCGCACTGAGCGTGCACGAGGCGTCGCGACGCTGACCAGGCCCGATGACGTCGGCCTGCCCGCTCCGCCGATTCTTCTGACCGCCCTGAGCGCGCGGCGTATCCACCACCGCGAAAACGCGATGGAATTTTGGATCAACGAACCACGTCGCGACAGAGACGGAGGCGGAGGTTGTTACGTTGTTACGTAAGGACGATCGGTTTTCAATATTTCGTCGTGTTTTTTTTTTTTTTTTTTTTTTTTTTCTTTTTCCATTCGCTTCACGCTCCTTTTGCACGTTGTTCATTGAAGGATATACGAAATACGATTATTATTATTATTATTATTCGAGGCAAATGAAATCACGTGACGGATCGGTAGCTTTCTCGTCGACAAAAGTTCACTTTAGCCCAACTTCGAACTTGCTCCGTTTAGCTGCTCGACTCACCGAAAAAGCAACATAAGACCAGCGAAGAAGGACTGAAAGTTGTTGTGATCATCGATCGCTGTTCCTGGATCGTTCGATATATTTCCAAAGACCTGACAACGGAATTTCATGATCACTAACTGGCTCCACACACGATTTATCGGTTTAACATTTCGCTCCTGTAAATAGTCGTCGCTCGACCTATATCCCGGACCGAGCTGACTCCAATGTCGACGCACTTTTCAACTCGTCGCGCATTGGAAACTCTCAGTGCGACTCGGCAGTCGTGTCCGCATGATAATTGTGTTCAGACGGAATTGAAGAAAAAAAAAAAAAAAAAAAACAAAATATAACAATAATCCCGAGCGTGTGTAACGAACGCCGAAGTAATTCCTCCGACGGAAAGATACATACCTGCATACCGATGATCGCGTAGATGAAAAACAACATCGCTATGAGGAGACAAACGTAAGGCAGAGCCTGCAACGAAGCTCGAATTAGACTCCGACATGTCGAGAGGTTTTGCGAGAACGTTTCTCGCGGTTCACTTACTTTGAAGGATTGTACAAAGGTCCAGAGCAAAATTCGTATCGTGTAGCCCTGCCTGAGTAGCTTGATCAGCCTGGCCGCGCGGAACAGCCTCAGGAAGCCGACGTTGATAAAGTTCTCCTGCAGTGGACAGAGGAAATTGCACTTAATCTCCAAAAATGCCGGCCCCTTATCACGATACGGGCAGCGCCTCGCGCGTGTAGCGTCACGATGCGACGAACCTGCTTCAAACTCGCTTTAAACGCTTGTTCAAATGCTGGTCCTCGACACCGTTCCGATGCACGAACGAAGCTACGGGAAAATCAGCAGGAATCCTATGGTGGTTCCCTTGTCCCGACGTAAGTCTTTCATATTGAAATATACAGGATGTACGCGTCAAGTTTTGTCACCATTTTTTAGGCATTTCCGGTAGTGCAATTAAAAAAATGTTTCAGATTCAAGATTTTTTTTAGTATTTGATATGGATTACATGTTCCTATATTCTTAAATCTCAAACAATGCTTTTTGACGTAAAAAAGTCAAGGTCACGAGGTCACCATATGTTTTTGATATCATAGGATTGTTGCTGATGTCGAGACGAATTGAACAGTGACTTTGAAATGACCTTAAAACCATGATGCAGAACTCTGCTCTGTGTATTAGACTTTTCGTTGTTGCTATGATTACGCCGGCTCTGTTTACTTTCTGTCGCTTCCCATACGTACAGAGCGGTGCTCTGTATCATAGTTTAAGGTCACTTCAAAGTCACGGTATATGCTACACTGTTGGATTATAGTCACAACATCAGCAACAATCCTAAGATATCAAAAACACATGGTGCCGTTTAAAAAAAGTCAAGGCGATCTTGACCTTTTTACGTAGAAAGCATTTCTTGAGATTTAAGAACATTATGGGAACATGTAGCCCGTATCAAATACTGAAAAAATCTTGTTTGAAACATTTTTTAATTGCACTACCGGAAATGCACTAAAAACTGGTGACAAAACTTAACGCGTACACCCTGTATATTACTCGTTTATCTGGACGTTTAACTGATTCCAACGTGATTTCAACGCGGCAACGTTTTGACTTTTCAAAGCGTTAGAATCACGGTATGTCAAGCTAATCTGATGTTCGGTATGTCGTCCGTTAAACCCATTTGCTGTAGCCAGGCGTCTATCGAGCGAGCACGGCGTGAACATCGTGAAAATTTTAATCGCGCGTTAATACCGCATCCATATGCCATACGAGGTTGGTTTGTTGCTCGTGTTTGTTGCTGCTGCCATGTGTATTCGCGTAAAAAGTATATGTCGTGTGCAGTAGTGGTAAGAAGTATGTCGAGAATGTTTGTACGCTATATGAGCGAAAATTCGCAAGTGTATGCGAACGAACGAGCAACCGTGATTTTGTTCGTTCATTGGGATAACAAAGACTCGTGCGTAAATATATAACTTATACAGGGTGTGTCTCGTAACGTGACGACATCAAATAATTCATAAAATATTTGTTGTACGAAAAAAATGTTCAGATAGAAATTGCATGATTTCCATGGGGACATGTAGTATTGTAATCAGTTGTATTTTGCTTTTTTTATCAGTATATGAAGGTCACCTTCAATTTTTTTAATATTTCTTTCCGAATTCGGATAAAGCGTTGAATTCTAAATAAAAACGTATTACACCAAATAGGGTCCAAAATACATAGTTACTGCGATTAACGACCTTTTTCTAATACAATGTAAAAAAATATTTTTGCTAATATCTCAGTAACTATATATTTTAAACCCTATTTGGTGTAATATTTTTTTACGTAGAATTCAACGCTCTGTCCAAATTCCGGAAGAAATATTAACTATTCCATTAAAAAAAAATTGAAGGTGACCTTCATACCTCGATAAAAAAGAAAAATAACAACAAAAATTTTTTATGTAGAATTCAACGCTTTATCCGAATTCAGGAAGAAATATTAACTATTCCATTTAAAAAAAATTCAAGGTAACCTTCATACCTCGATAAAAAAGCAAAATAAAACTGATTACAAGACTATATGTCCCCATGGAAGTCTGGCAACTTCTATCTGAACATTTTTTCATACAACAAATATTTTATGAGTTATTCGATGTCGTCACGTTACGAGACTCATATACTGAGTGTTTCGTAACTTGTGGGACCCACTTCGTGAGCTGATTGTACGTCTAAAAGTAATGGAAAAAAGTCATATAAATATATGTCCTATCTGTCTTCGTTTATGAGATATAATGAATTTTATAAACAGAGCAAACT